ATCCGCGTGGATGGAATTACCCCTCCGGCCCAGAATGCATTGCTGTACGAGACGGTTATGGTGGTGGAAGGGAAGCCGATCCTGAGAGACATGGTTTTCAGTCCAGACCACCAGCACATCTACCTGCTGAGTGACAGACAGGTGAGAAAGCCCATACTGTGTGTGTGTGTGTGTGTGTGTGTGTGTGTGTGTGTGTGTGTGTGTGTGTGTGTGTGTGTGTGTGTGTGTGTGTGTGTGTGTGTGTGTACCTTTTGGAGGAAGCAGAGTGGAGTTAAACAACTGTTACTGTTTGTCCTCCATGAGAGATGCATTATGGGTAATGCTGACCCCAGACATGATGGAATGTGTTCATTGACACCTTTGTATTTTAACTTAATTTAACATGCTAGAAGTATGAATGCTACGCACGTGTCCCCTGTATGTATCATGTTATTGGACATGTGTGTCACATCACATTACATCACATGTCATTTATCTGACGCTTTTATCCAAAGCGACGAATAAGAACATTTCAACCATAAGGACACAAACTCAGAAGAACAAGAAACAAGAAAGTGTGATTTCATCAAATAAGCCGCTTTACAACTTGCTGTAGATAAGAACCATTATAAGTCCAATGTAAGTGCTGCAGGTAGTTAGTGTGTTAGTGGAGGTAGAGTCTGAAGAGGTGTGTCTGTAGTCTGAAGATGTGAAGGCTCTCTGTGGTCCTGATGTCTTCAGAGACCTCCTTCCACCATTTAGGAGCAGGACAGCAAAGAGTGGAGATCTAGTGGAGTGTTTTGCTCTCAGCTCATCACTTCAGAGAATAAACAGAATGGAAGAACTGCACAATCAGCAGGTTAGAGGATGAAGATTCAGCCGCACTGTCCCTTTAAAGATAATGAGGTCAGAGTGTGTGTCTGTGTGTGTGTGTGTGTGTGCGTGTGCGTGCGTGTGTGAGACAATGAATGTATTCATGTGTGAGACACAGACAGACACTGTGTTTACTGTCTCTGTGCTGCAATGGCCTCTGGGTAAAAGACACGACAAACAGCCACGTTGACTGACTAATGTGTTACACACAGGCCTCAGGCTGTGTGTAACACATTAGTCAGGTAACACACACGCACACACACAAGTAACGTTAACGTTAAATGAATAAAGTGTTTTTGAAGAAATATGAATCTTTCTCAGCGTTTCTCAGCGTTCGTCCGGGGATGCGTTCAGGGACCGTGGGAACGACGTACGCTCACATACTGCTCCTGGAGACAGTTGTTGCATGTCATTGACCTTTGACCCCCTGTGACCCCTTCCTACCTGCTCCAGGTGAGCCGGCTGCCGGTGGAGAGCTGTGAGCGGTACAGCAGCTGCTCGGCCTGCCTGGGGTCCGGAGACCCCCACTGTGGCTGGTGTGTGCTCTTCAACAAGTAAGACCTCCTGCACCCCGGAGGGGGGGGGGCACAGCAGGAAGTAGTTAACCCTCTGAACCCCACCAGGACGGCAGGATAAAACCTTTTACTTTATGTATATTCATTCAGAATGATGTCTTTGTGTGTTCTCTCCTGACCACATTATTATTGTTTGTTCAGTTATGGACAAAATAAGATCAGGTTGTTGGCTTTTACTTAAACCACAAAAACACATTTCTATTGTTGCATGTTTCCTTTGTGTGTGTTGTCCTATGAGGCGTCACACACACACACACACACACAGTGTGTTTGATGTTCAGCGTCCAGGCAGGTGGAGGAAGTTCCTCTGTGGATTATGTCTAATTAGCTTCACTTTCAAAGTAAAAGCCCTGGACTACCAGTGGCCTCATCAAAGCTCAGATTGTTGTTCATAATATAATTGGTAATAATGTTTCTGGACTAATAAACAAGTGATATTAAAATAAAATGTGTAATAGAAAATCACAAATAACAAAAACATGTCATTAATCTAGATATTAGATTAAGGAACTACATATACTAGTTGAGTATAAATTAGATTAAGTAATTAAAACTTGTATTATTGAGAAGTCATTCATTTTTCAATAAAAACATGTATATACATAATACAATGAAATGAACAAAATTACCATATGATTGCAATTTAGAAATGAATGAAGAGATATTAAAACGATTAAAAAAGAAACACCAATCATTGAGGTTGGATGACCTTTGACCCCTCCAGGTGTTCCAGACAGGAAGCATGTAACAAGTGGGAGGAGCCTCAGCACTTCAACACCCGGCTTGAACAGTGCGTCGACATCACCGTTACCCCGAGCAACATGTCTGTTACTTCCCCACAAACACAGGTACACACACACACACACACACACACACACCTCTGTGTAAACTAGTAAACTCATTGATCCATCGACCCCGAAAAGGACGCAGAACCCAAACAGCTGTTCGCCGCTCGCTGGCCAACTTGCTTGGTGGCCGGCAAATTAGCTCGTTAGCTCGTTAGTGTGTTAGCTAGTTAGCGTGTTAGCGTGTTGGTGCTAGTGTTGCCACCAGCGGCACGACAGACTTTGCAATAAATGGTTTTCTGATCGATCGTAACTTACGTTGGATTTTCCAAAACCAGAAACCCTGCAAACAGACTCGGCTCCTCTGTTGTGTCTCTGGGGCGTCGTGGCACAGGGGTTAGAGAAGGTGTGCTGGGAAGCACAAGGTTGTAGGTTCAATTCCAGGCTGCCCCATGTTCCATGTCGAAGTGTCCCTGAGCAAGACACCTAACCCCTAATTGCTCCCCAGGCGAAAATGTGAAAAAGCCATGGTTTTAAAGTGTAATGTAAGTCGCTTTGGATAAAAGCGTCTGCTAAATGACCTGTAGTGTAATAATGTAATGTCTCTCGTTGTTCCTCTTGTGTCGCTCTTTTCCGTGTTTTCATGTAGATCGTAATGATAGTGATGAAGATGATTATATTAACTTAATTAATAACTCTTCACTGTTGGGAGTTGTTCCTGTGCCAACGTGAGGGTCAAAGGTCAGAGCATGTGCATACATATGTAGTAGTGTGAAGCCCTCTGAGGATGATTTGTGATTTTGGGTTATTGAAAGATGGTGGTGATGATTATGAAGATGATGGTGATGATGGAGATGATGGAGATGATGGTTATGATGGAGATGATGGTGATGATGGAGATGATGGTTATGATGGAGATGCCCCTCTCTCTCTAGTTGACCCTCTGGGTGCGGAACGTCCCGGCCCTGTTGGGGGGCGTGTCCTGTGTGTTCGAGGAGCTGAATGAGACCCCCGGAGAGGTCCAGGCCAAAGGTCAGGTGATGTGTATGTCACCGTCACTGAGAGACCTGCCCTCGCACACACACTCCTACGGTGAGACACACGCACACACACACACACACACACACCCATTGTGTATGTGAACAAATGAATCAATAAAGTTTTATTCTCCAGGAGAGAAGCGAGTGGTCCATCTCAGGCCTGCGCTCCACTGAGACGGGACTTCAGTTCATCAGCACCAACTTTATCTTCTACAACTGCTCTGTGCTCAACTCGTAAGTCTGACACGGCTACTCCTACACTCCTCTCTCCTCACTCCTACACTCCTCTCTCCTTACTCCTGCACTCCTCTCTCCTTACTCCTACACTCCTCTCTCCTCACTCCTACACTCCTCTCTCCTTACTCCTGCACTCCTCTCTCCTCACTCCTACACTCCTCTCTCCTTACTCTTACACTCCTCTCTCCTTACTCCTACACTCCTTACCCTACACTCCTCAATCCTACACTCCTTACTCCACTCCTCTCTCCTACACTCCTCTCTCCTTACTCCTACACTCCTTACTCCTACACTCCTCTCTCCTTACTCCTCCCTCCTACACTCCTCTCTCCTTACTCCTACACTCCTCACTCTTACACTCCTCTCTCCTTACTCCTACACTCCTCACTCCTACACTCCTCTCTCCTTACTCCTCCCTCCTACACTCCACACTCCTCCCTCCTCACTCCTACACTCCTCTCTCCTCACTCCTCACTCCTACACTCCTCTCTCTTCACTCCTCCCTCCTCACTCCTTACTTCTCACTCCTGCACCCCTCTCTCCTCACTCCTACACTCCTTACTACCCTATCCACCCTCCTTTCCTCTCTCCCTTCATCCTCCTCTTGTTTCTTGTCTTTGTTTCCTCCTCTCATCTTGCTTCCTCCCTGCTTGTATCCTCTCCTTCCCCCTTGGGGGAGCAGATTTGCAGGAGTAACATAATCTGTGCGGCAGACTCGCTGGTTGCCATGGTAACAGCAGCTCAGAGCATCAGTCTCAGAAACACACACACACACACACACACACACACCACTGAAGATTAGTGTCTTCAATGGGAACCAATGAGACGCAGACAGGAAGTGAGACGATATTAAGACATAAGAGAATGAGATTGAAGGTTTTTATTCAGACTTGTGACGGAATAATATTTCATCTCCATGACAACAAGCGTTTTTACCCTCCCCAGGTGTACTTCCTGTGTCAGCAGCGTGTTCCCGTGTCATTGGTGTAAATATCGTCACGTCTGCACCAACAACCTGCAGGACTGTTCCTTCCAGGAGGGGCGGGTCAGCAGCATAGAGGTACACACACTACACACAAACAAACTACACAAAGTAACACAGAGACACAACAGACGTAGTAATCAAAGTGGAAACTTCAAAAGGTTCAAACTGTCTCATGAGGGTCACATGACAACGTCACGTGACCCACGTTGAGCCCAATCTGCTGCAGAATGAAATGGATTCTTCATCAACCCAGTTTCATTAAAATCACAACAAACATCCCCCGCAGCCCCCCCTCCCCCCCCAAGGGGCTTCTCTGGTGACATCATCAGAAGGGAGTTGATCTCCGGGGCTCCTCTCTTCATGGTTACTTCCCCACTTGTGTGGGTTTAATGAGAATCAAATCAAAAAGTGAATTATTTAGATGAGATGATGACACCTCATAATAAGAGTGATCAGCTCGTTAGCGATCGGGCTCCCGGAACACGTGATTGGTGCTCGGTGACATCGCTCACTAACGACCTCTAATTGGCTAAATGGCCGATGGAACATGAATAGACACTTAATTGACACGTAAGCACCCAAACACAGCAATTCATGTTAAATACCAGGCAATTAGTCTGACTACACAGAGGGGAGACACACACACAGGGACAGGAAGCAGGGGGATTTTCACAATAAAACAGGATCCTGGTTAGAAAACAAAATAATATTATTCATTTATATAATAATACAAATTCGGCGTTCAGTTGATCTAAAGGTTGTTCATCACTCTTTTACAGTCTCACTTTCCTCCTCTTCCTCCTTTTTTCTTCCTCCTCCTCTCCCTCTTACTCCTCCTCTTCTTCAGTGTCTCAAAAATGGTCTCTAACAGGTGAGCTACTGTTCAGAGCCACAGTGGGTCTTTATCTTCAAAACACACACACACACACACACAGTCTCACTGTCAGTCTCACACACACACACACTGACACACACACACACACACACAGTCTCACTGTCACACACACGAACACACACACTGACACACACACACAGTCTCACTGTCACACACACACGGTTCGCTGATGGCGTCGGCTGTCTCGTCCACTTCCTGTGGGGCTGATGTCTTCCTGTCACTAATAAAGATCATTAATAAAGACACAACAAGAGTCTTTGTGTACTTTTAACTGTGTTACCTTATGACTTAATACACACAATTAGATCCAGAATATATTCTAAATAATCCATATAAAGATTATTCCCAATCTCAAGGGGTCGACGTGGCGCCGGGGTAGAGAGGGAACGCTGGAAACCGCAAGGTTGGCGGTTCGAGTCCCGGCTGCCCCATGTCCCATGTCCAAGTGTCCCTGAGCAAGACACCTGACCCCTAATTGCTCCCCGGGCAAAATGTATAAAGCCGTGTGTTCAAAGTGTGATGTAAGTCGCGTCAGCTAAATGACCTGTAATGTGATGTCATAATTCTGTCAATATAACCTTTGAATTTCATATTTTATATATAAAATCATTTTCTTCAAACCCTCGTTAATAATTTAGTAAATCCGCCGACCCTCAAGCCACAGGTTCCCAAATTGATTGACAGGTCGGCTAATACAAACACATAAAAGGGTGATTAATAATTTGTGATGCTGCCGCGTTCAAAGCTTCTCTGATCAATAATTGATCGTAATAACGGATGAAGTGTGTGTGAAGTGAAAGTGTCTCACTCCTGAGCCCATGATGTCATCTCTTATGCATCAGCGTCCTTTTATTTAGACATGTATTTTATTGATGACCACACCTTCTAGATATATAAATGATTCAAGAATAAAAAAGTGAAATGTAGAAATAAAAACCTCAAAGGCTGGTCGTAAAATAAATGAATAAAATGATATTATGAACTTATTTTAGTATTTATTTGTTTGCTTATTATTTACCAATGAATACAAATGATTTAATTCTATTGCGTGTATTTGACTTTACTTTTAAATCAATCTGCACATTGATTTAATATTTTAAGCTCTTATTTCTCCAATTCGTTCTTTTTTTATTTATTATATATATATTATTATTTATTTATAGATTTTATTTACGGTTATAAGAAATAAATCATTAAATGAATGAAAGCCTCAACTATCAAATATACTATGTAATATATACAAATGTCGATGTACTATATTCATGTAAGAACGTCATCTTTTGTGTCTTTAATCATTTATCGAGTGGTTTGTTTCTTTTTATATCAACCTGAAAGCAAAGAAATGCTCTGAAGCACTGGGATGTGTTTTACCCCCCCAGGGCTGCCCTCAGATCCTCCCCACCGCCGACATCCTGGTCCCGGCCGGGATGGTTCGACCAATCACGCTGCGCGCCCGGAACCTCCCTCAGCCGCAGTCGGGTCAGAAGAACTACGAGTGCGTCTTCCACATTCAGGGGAAAGTCCAGCGCATCCCGGCGGTCCGCTTCAACTCGTCCTGCATCCAGTGCCAGAACACCTCGGTGAGGGGGACTACGCTACCCAGCATGCTCTGGGCCGGGGGGCGGGACTTCAGTTGGTGGATTCATTTTGTGTCGGCCTTCTCTCCTCACTATTGGAGTAGGACGGGTGTCCAAACTACGGCCCGCGGGCCAACGGCATCAAGGTCTATAAATGTAATGGACTGGTGTCGTTCTTAGTGGAACGTAATTGGGCACGAGGGCTTTAGCAGCGAGCATTTCAAGCGCTCCTCTCTGATGCTGAACACGGACCTACTTCAGCGCCCTGAGGTGCTGCAGCCGCTTTATTCCCTGACATCAAATATTGACACGTTTTCTGAAAGAAAAGGGAAGGAGATGACGGAGCCTTTATGGGGCAGACCTGGCTTTTCTAGTTGATCTCACTGATCATCTCCGCACCCTGAACAAGAGACCACGTGTGCACATGAAAGCATTCTGCCAAAGGTCCAGGCAGCGCACTGCCACGCGTCAGGCTCTCTGCTGGAACGGGTCTGTGAAAGGATCCAGGCAGCGTCACTTTCCTGTCACTGAGAAGGAAATCACGCTGAGAGAATGAGCTGCCAACCTTCTTGTTCCAAACCCAACGTAATTCTGCTAATGGAGAGCATGGATTCCTCCAGACGTGTCCACTCATCAAGCGTTTGATTGATCCTAATATTGGTGCGTTAGAAGCGAGTGGGCCAGTCCTTCAGAGACCTCTCTGTATGTGGCCTTAGACTCCACTACTTGTTGTACCACTACTACTGACTCCTGGGTAGTTTTATTTGTGGAAGTATGAGCACCTGTAGTACTATTGGAAGTAGTACCATTGATACTTGATAGTATTAGTAGTACATATAGCAGTACTAGTATTACATATTGCAGTATTAGTAGTACATATAGTAATAGTATCACATATTAGACGAGCACAAGTAGCCCTCCTTCTCTCTGGTTGACCTCTGACCTCCAGGGGTCAGGTGGACAGCGCACACACACATTGTCTCCCTGCTCAAGCTCATTTCCTGTTCTGTCTTCCTGTCTCACACACACACACACACACACACACACAGATGGTCAGTTAGTGTGTGTCTGTATTTAATTAACTTACTATTCCCAGAGGAAATTGGCCATTAGTACAATAGTGCGTGCACACACACACACACACACACACACACACACACACACAGCTCAGACTTCAAAATAAAAGCATTAGTGTTTTCTTGGGTTTTAGGTTAATTTGCTGAATGGACTGTTCTTATAGAAAAGGAAATTCCTCTTGAGGATAAGTATTCTAGAGCTAAGAGTCTAAAAGTCTGCATAGAAGTCTATGAAACAATGACTTCTGTGTAGTGACCAGCAGGGGGCGACTCCTCTGCTCCCATAGACGTCTATGAGGAAATGACTGTTGTTTACTGTTTTCCTTGTTTCCTCCCTGCTCTCCTTCTCCTTCTTTTTGCCTCCTCTTTCCTTGTTTCCTCCCTTCTCCTTCTCTTTGCCTCCTCTTTCCTTGTTTCCTCCCTTCTCCTTCTCTTTGCCTCCTCTTTCCTTGTTTCCTCCCTTCTCCTTCTCTTTGCCTCTTTCCTTGTTTCCTCCCTTCTCCTTCTCTTTGCCTCCTCTTTCCTTGTTTCCTCCCTTCTCCTTCTCTTTGCCTCCTCTTTCCTTGTTTCCTCTCCTTCTCCTTCCCTTTGCCTCCTCTTTCCTTGTTTCCCCCTCCTCTACTTCTCCTTTTTATATGAATGTTTAAAGGTGTGTTGATCCCACATGGTGGTGAGTTCAAAGACAGCTGGACAGTATAAGAAGGATCAATAATGTTGATCAATGGAACATGAAGCTTCTGTGCGGATCTGAATGATACAAAAGGAGCTTTTTAAACAACACACACACACACACACACACACATACTGTTCTACTGTTCTTCATTGTTCTTGTGTGTGTGTGTGTGTGTGTGTGGACATACTCAGGTCTATCTTTTCAGCAGCGCTCAGGGACGAGTCGTATTCTTCTCTTCACACAAACACAGAGACACACACAGACACACACACACACAGACACACACACAGACACACACACAGACACACACTGTTTATCTAAGATGAGACCAGCAGGTAGATCCGGTTCCCATCAGCTCCAAATCCATTGTGTTGTTTCTCTGGCGGCTTCTGATCGGTTGCCGTGGAGACGGGCAGCTGCCATGACAACACAAGAGTTTGCTTTACGTTAGCATGATGCTAGGAGATCTCTTGCTTAATGCTAGCATAACGGTTGCGTGGTCCTAGCGTTACCTCAGCACTAGCATGTTGGATGATAAAATAACGTTTTATGTCGTATAATGTTAGCATGAGGCTAGTATACCGTTAGCTTAAAGCTAGCATATTGTTAGCTCCTGTTAAGTCGTTTCTAGGGTCCGTCCTATTGGCTGGAGCAGTGGACGATGTTTCCATTGAAGCAGAACTAATAAATGACGTAAGGTCACCAGCAACCTGTGTGTGTGTCCACAGTACTGGTACGAAGGGGACGAGGCTGGAGACCTCCCAGTGGACTTCTCCATCGTGTGGGACGGAGACTTCTTCATCGACAAGCCGCCGTCTATGAAAGGTAAATAATAACATGAATATGATATGGGGGGGGGGTGTGCAGACCACCATGTAAACGCTCCTCCAGGGGAAGCTTCAGATTGTGTGTAACCCCCCCCCCTCCCCCCCCCTCCCTACCTCCCTCTTCAGCCCTGCTGTACAAGTGTGAGGCTCAGCGCTCCAGCTGTGGTCAGTGTCTCAAAGCTCCCACGGCCTTTGAATGCGGCTGGTGCTCCGACAGCAGGCGTTGTCTCCTGAGGACACACTGTCCCTCGGCCGAGCAGAGCTGGATGCACCACGGCCGACACAACCTGCGCTGCAGCCACCCGCGCATCGCCAGGGTACGAGCTCCAGCCCCATGGACAGGAAACACATTCTGTCTGACACATCTACTGCTTCTTAAAATCTCTATTCCTGTCATCCTAAGTTCCAGTTCCTGACTTACAACTTGTTTAATAATCGATAATCGTAAACTGATGAGCGATGAACCTCATCTAAATATTTAACACGCGTTGATGTTGATGTTTCACAATAAAAGCCCAACGGGAGGTTGAGTGATTGGGTCCTTTGAGCTGTTAAAAAGTCTTTTGTTATGAAGATTTTGTCCATGTGTTCATTATAAGAGGCGAAAACCGCAGAGGCCCTTTATTGATTTAATAAGCTATAGATCCTTTGATTGATCCCAGCTGAAGGAGCTGCATTGATCCCTGCGGACCAATCAGAATGGAGTATTGTCAGTGGGAACGAATGAGAGCAGCAAACAGGAAGCAGATGAGAATCGGTGTGAACATTATTGATGAGCGGTTGCCCTCCCACCACAGATTGACCCTCTGACCGGCCCCCGAGAGGGGGGCACGCGGGTGACCATCGAGGGGGAGAACCTGGGCCTGCAGGTGAAGGAGATCGCTCACGTCCAGGTGGCCGGCGTCCGCTGCAACCCCGTCCCCGCCCAGTACATCAGCGCCGAGAGGTGCGTTGCTGCAGACGGTCACGTGATGAGGCTGTTGTCCCCCTGTCTGACGCTCTCCCCCCTCCTCAGGATAGTGTGTGACATGGCGGAGGCCCTCCTCCCTCACTCTCCTGGAGGACCGGTGGAACTTTGTATCGGCGTGTGCAGCTCCGAGTACAGAACTCTGTCCACTCAGACGTACTCCTTCGTGGTGCGTCAGCGCTTATTAACAGAGAGGAAGAGATCTAACGATTATCAAACTGACCAGTTGAATTTCTGACATCTGCTCCCTCTTCCTCTCCCTCCTCTCCTCCTCTTCCCCCAGAGCCCGGTGTTCACTCGGGTCCTCCCGGAGAGGGGTCCCGTCTCCGGGGGAACCAGGCTGGCGGTGACAGGCCGTAATCTTGACGCTGGCAGCTCGGTGACGGTGTTTATTGATAAGGAGGAATGTCTCTTTGTCAAGTGAGTGCGGCCCTCCCACTTATTGATACTAAACCTCATCCATACGTCATCGCCTCAATCAATGTCTGCCTCCCTCCCAGACGGACCAATCGGGAGATCATCTGCATAACTCCCGCCTCCCTGTCGGGCCCTGGTCCCGCCCCCATCCGCCTGATGATTGACAGGGCCGAGGTGACGAGCTCGGAGACAAAGTACGTCTTCACGGAGGACCCGACGGTCTCCAGCATCGAGCCCAACTGGACCATCCTCAAGTAAAGGCCCCCGAGAACCAATCGCATTGGCAATCAGAGTATTGATCTGCGGCTGACTGTGTGTGTGTGTGTGTGTGTGTGTGTGTGTGTGTGTGTGTGCGCGTGTGTGTGTGTGTGTGTGTGTGTGTGTAGTGGCAGCACGGTGATAACCGTGACGGGAACCAACCTGAGGACCATCCAGGAGCCCAAAGTCAGAGCCAAGTACAGAGGCGTGGAAACCAGCAACGTAAGGACCACCTTACACATGGGGGTTACCAACATGAGGCCTGTGGCCCTCAGAGGGTCACATGCAACATATAGACGTATTTACTCTTTGTGTCGAGCTAAGAATCAAAGAGACATGTTTAGGGACAAAATGTTGGTCTGGAAAAGTCCAAACAAACTAGAAACGAGTTAAATAAAGACAACCTGTCAATCAGCATGTAGCCCCGCCCTAAAGCGTCCCCTCTTTATGGTCTGTTTGACTCTAAATGGACCATAATCTACTAAATGAACATCAGGTGTATTGAAGAAGACTTGAAACTAGAGACTGAGACATAAACTCATGTTTACAATGTTTACTGAGGGAATAAATCAAGAGAGAAGTAGAGTCATTTCCTCATAGACGTCTATGGGAGCAGAGGAGTCGCCCCCTGCTGGTCACTACAGAGAAGTAGAGTCATTTCCTCATAGACGTCTATGGGAGCAGAGGAGTCGCCCCCTGCTGGTCACTACAGAGAAGTAGAGTCATTTCCTCATAGACGTCTATGGGAGCAGAGGAGTCGCCCCCTGCTGGTCACTACACAGAAGTAGAGTCATTTCCTCATAGACGTCTATGGGAGCAGAGGAGTCGCCCCCTGCTGGTCACTACAGAGAAGTAGAGTCATTTCCTCATAGACGTCTATGGGAGCAGAGGAGTCGCCCCCTGCTGGTCACTACAGAGAAGTAGAGTCATTTCCTCATAGACGTCTATGGGAGCAGAGGAGTCGCCCCCTGCTGGTCACTGCACAGAACGCAGCTTTAACCGATGACTCTTCTCTCCCTAGTTCTGTTCTGCCCTGAACGACAGCACGATGACGTGTTTGGCGCCCGGTCTGATATACGGCGAGCCGGACCCACCAGAGGGGGCGCTGCACCCCGATGAGTTCGGCTTCATCTTTGACCAGGTGACACACACACACACACACACACACATACAGTTACACACACATACACAGCTTCATGGGTCGAGTCAAATGTCTTCAGAAGTAGTTAGTTCAGTTAATATTTGCAGTGGTAGGAGTAGTATTTGTAGTATTAGTAGTAATGATGGTAGTGATACAGGACCCAGGAACAGCGCCCCCCTACACTGCACGCCGCTGTCCCACTGCCTGTCCTCTGTGCAAGTTGGATCTGATATTTCGTCCCTGATGTCCTCTCCAGGTCTCCTCTCTGCTGGTCCTGAACTCCACCCCCTTCACACACTACCCCAACCCCACCTTTGACCCCCCTGGGGAGCTCTGGCATCCTGGAGGTCAAACCGGGGTCACCGATCATCCTGAAGGTCAGTGTACAGAGGTACATGTAGTGCTTTAACCTGTGCAGTCGTGCTGTAGTAAGAGTACCTCTCGGGTCCCCAGGGGAAGAACCTGGTCCCTGTTGCCCCCGGCAACAACCGGCTGAACTACACCGTGCTCATCGGGGAGTCCCCGTGTCTCCTCACCGTGTCGGAGAACCAGCTGCTCTGTGATTCGCCGGATCTCACCGGAGAACAGCGAGTTCTGGTGAGTGATATATGCGTAGCCCCGCCCCCTCCAGCGTGGGGGCGGGGCTTGAGAGAAGAGGGGGGAGGAAAGGAGAGCCAAACAATGGGGAGAATTAGGTAGAGGAAAGGAAACAAGGAAAGAAGAAGAGGAGTTAAGGAAAGGAGGAAAGAAATTGGAGACTAGGTAGAGAAAAAGAGAAGAGCAGAATAAAGAAGTATAAGAAAAGGAGATTAGGAAAGGAGATAAGGCAAGGAAATTCAGAGTCACACAAAACCATTAAAAACAAGCAAGGAGATTTATACACTTAAGAACATTGATACATTGAAACAAAAGAAAAACAGTCATTAAAACGATAAAAAAGGCGTTAAAAGATTTGCAGTGTAACTTAAGAATGTCTTTAAGAAGAAACGGTCAATTAAAGGCAGCAGCAAACAAACGTGAGGAAGGACATGGAGAGACAATAGTAGGTCACAGGAGGAACAAAGGAAGGAGACAAGGAAAGGAAGGTCAGAGGCGAGGAAGTCACATCTATAGAAAGGTGAAAGTTGTTAACTGCAGCCCCACGGGATCATGGGTAATTGGTCTGAAGTCACATATCAGAGTGTGACACACACACACACGTTACAGCACATGTCATTTGTGCGACTTACAATAAGGACACAAACTCAGAAGAGCCAGAAACAACAGAGTGATTTCATCAAATAAGCCGATGTACAACTCGCTGTAGATAAGAACCATTATAAGTCCAATGTAAGTGCTGCAGTTAGTGTGTTAGTGGAGGAAGAGTGTGAAGAGGTGTGTCTTTAGTCTGAAGATGTGAAGGCTCTCTGTGGTCCTGATGTCTTCAGAGACCTCCTTCCACCATTTAGGAGCAGGACAGCAAAGAGTGGAGATCTAGTCCAGTGTTTTGCTCTCAGTGAGGAGGAACAAGCAGTTTATCACATGCAGAGCGGAGAGTGGTTTTGACAAACTAAGAGTTTCAATGATGCAAGTGGGTTTTGCTTCAGAAGACAAAGCAAAGATAAGAGGACACACTGTCCCTCAATTCACTGTAATCTAGAGTCTGTCAGTCCAGCCACGAAGAAACAGCAAGAGCGAAAGACAACCAGCAATTCAATTAACGTAAAACAGCAGAATCAACACACTCAGCAGACCAGCTCGGTTGAAAGAGTTCGGGTCGTGTGGATGTCTGAAGGCCTTGTGGTGGAGTATTGATACATTATTCAAGTTCTCTCCCTCGTCTTCATAATGTATTCATCAGATTGTTTTTGTAATTGATCTCCATCAGTATTAAATCTGCATATATACATATGTGTGTATATATTTATACACATGCGTGAGGGTCTCTTTACACTTATCTGCACTTACATTCAATAGTAATACAAAATATATCTATTATGAGCCAAAAGGAATCCTTGCCTCTCGTTTGTTTACACGCTCCTACACTTAAATAAGGTACGAGCGGCTGTACTTATCGTCCAATAATGAAACCGTTGGTTTTGCCGGAAACCCTCGAACTGTTATTATTGAAGATAAAGTAGAGCCGCTCATAACTTATTGCTTTCATAACGCGTCACCAGTGAGATTATAAATAGCTGCCTGTAAACACAAAGTAGTTGTAGCCACCAAACGTTGTGTCTCATTTCAGTCGTCTACAGGAAAATAGACCCTGCGTGTAAACAGCACCGGCTCATCTCGTTCATTCACACCGCTCAGGACGCCCACCTCAATTGTCAAACCGATCAAACCGATCAAACTGATCAAACTGATCAAACCGATCAAACCGATCAAACTGATCAAACTGATCAAACCGATCATACTGATCAAAATCATTTGTGGGATTTCCCTTTCGGCGATCGCCACCGATCTAAAAGATAAAATGTCAACTAAGAGTCGCAGAAAGTCTCAGCTGCTCCTGTGAGTGCGCAGTGATACGGAGCAATCGGGTCAATGTGAGCAGGTTCTGTACTTTAAGGCCCAATAACGAGCCCCTCGTGACTCTCAACCAATCAGAGCGCTGGATTTCATCCACCGTTATAGCGGTAAATACTCGTCTGATTACGGTACAGTTGGTAGTTGCAGCCGTTTCGTTTCTGCACTCAACAAACAAACATTAATTATAAATATTTAGTTGTATTAAACTCGGCCACATTAATCGCACAGATTAACGCTTTTATGTTGACGGCCCTCATACGTGTAAATATATTTACAGTTATCGTCGCACACACACACAGGAAGTGTGGACTTGTGTCCTAATGAGGGAGCGTTTGATATCCCACCCCTGTGCAGCCCTGACTCAGTCTCCCGCCCTTCCCAGATCCTGGTGGGGGGTCTGGAGTACTCGCCGGGCACGCTACACATCTACTCCGACAGCGCCCTGACGCTGCCCGCCATCATCGGCATCGGGGCGGGCGGCGGCGTGCTGCTCATCGCCATCATCGCCGTGCTCATCGCCTACAAGAGGAAGACCCGCGACGCCGACCGCACGCTCAAACGCCTCCAGCTGCAGATGGACAACCTGGAGAGCCGCGTGGCGCTGGAGTGCAAGGAGGGTGAGTCAGAGGTCAGAGGTCAGGGGTGGCCCCGTTGCCGCCGGCAACCAGATATTCCGGTTTCCTCTGCTCCTGAACTCGCCTCACGTGTCCTCTCTGTGGATGCAGGGAGCTAGAACTCGTCTCTAGTGCAGAATAACACGATACGCTAAAAGAGTCTTATTGATGTTCAGACAACTCACACGACTTAATTCATCTGGATGTCATCGGTTCGCTGAGGAGCTCAATACGATGCTCACAACGTGTGAAGTATCACACGATGTGTTCAAAGACCGTGGGGCTCGATAAAGAACCTCCGAATGATATACAAAGGGTTTTCTGTTCAAACGGGACCTCCTCTCCCCCCCCTCCCCCTCGCAGCCTTCGCCGAGCTGCAGACAGACATCCAGGAGCTGACCAACGACATGGACGGGGTGAAGATCCCGTTCCTGGAGTACCGGACCTACACCATGAGGGTCATGTTCCCGGGCATCGAGGAGCACCCGGTGCTGAAGGAGCTGGACGTAGGGAGCCCACACACCACTGTGTTCATCCACACATCTGGATATGTGTGTATACTTGTGTGTACATCTGGTTGTCTCTGCCTCAGTCTCCAGCCAACGTGGAAAAGGCTCTGCGTCTCTTCAGCCAGCTGCTCAACAACAAGATGTTCCTGCTGACCTTCATCCACACGCTGGAGGCCCAGAGGTCGTTCTCCATGAGGGACCGCGGCAACGTGGCCTCGCTGCTGATGGCCGCTCTGCAGGTACTCGTATGATGGCCTAAGTACTGCAGATGCCTGCAGATGCCAGTATGATGAGGATTGGAGTGAGAAGAGGTTGTTACAGAGGTTGTTTAATAGACGTTTGGGGCTTGTGGTCAGTATCTGACTCCCTACTGGTCTCTAGGGTCGTATGGAATACGCTACAGTGGTGTTAAAACAGCTGCTGGCCGACCTGATCGAGAAGAACCTGGAGAACCGAAACCATCCCAAGCTCCTGCTGAGGAGGTCTGTGCACCTGCTTTGACCGTCGACCTTTGAACCAGGCCACACAGTAGAGCCGTCTGGAGCTGACCTTTGACCTCCGTGTGCATGTGTTTTCAGGACGGAATCCGTGGCTGAGAAGATGCTGACCAACTGGTTCACCTTCCTGCTGCATCGCTTCCTCAAGGTGACTCCCCGTTAGGCTCCTCCTCTTCGGTCCCACTGCGACCAATCAGATCACAGCTCTGCTTGATCAATTCTCAGGAAATTAGAAGGACCGCTTGAATCTTTTAGTGGATGAAGCTGAGGTGAAGGAATCACTCCTGACACTGTCTCTCCACCTGTCTGTCTCCACCTGTCTGTCTCCACCTGTCTGTCTCCACCTGTCTGTCTCTCAGGAGTGTGCAGGCGAGCCTCTCTTCATGTTGTATTGTGCCATAAAGCAGCAGATGGAAAAAGGTCCGATCGACGCGATCACAGGAGAAGCTCGTTATTCTCTGAGTGAAGACAAACTGATCAGACAGCAGATCGACTACAAGCAGCAGGTTACACACGCGCACGCACACACACACACACACACACACACACACACACACACGTATACACACACACATATATAGCCAGTCATTAAAGACGCTTCCTTAAGACAATAACGTGTTGTGAAGCTTGGACAGACTTAACGGAACCCCTCCAACAGACCCTGATGTGCATCCCCCCGGAGGGCGAGGCGGTGACGGAGGTCCCGGTAAAGGTGTTGAACTGTGACACGGTGACCCAGGTGAAGGACAAGCTGCTCGACGCCGTCTACAAAGGCATCCCCTTCTCTCAGAGGCCTCAGGCCGACGACATGGACCTCGGTGAGGCTCCGCCCCTTGTTCCTGTGTCACTTCCTGTCACGTGACCGCAGCATGTGACCTTTGTGTGCTTGTCATGTCATAGAGTGGCGACAGGGTCGACTGACCAGGATCATCCTGCAGGACGAAGACGTGACGACAAAGATAGAGAGCGACTGGAAGAGGCTGAACACACTGGCCCACTACCAGGTACACACTAATACACACACACACACAGGTACACACACTACCAGGTACACACTAATACACACACACACAAGGGTACACACACTACCAGGTACACGCTAATACACACACACACAGGTACACTCACTACCAGGTACACGCTAATACACACACACAGGTACACACACTACCAGGTACACACTAATACACACACACACAACGGTACACACACTACCAGGTACACACTAATACACACACACACAGGTACACACACTACCAGGTACACACTAATACACACATACACGTACACACACTACCAGGTACACACTAATACACACACACAGGTACACACACTATCAGGTACACACTAATACACACACACACAGATACACACACTCCCAGGTACACACTAATACACACACACCTACAGGTACACACACTTCCAGGTACACACACTTCCAGGTACACACACAGGTACACACACTACCAGGTACACACTAATACACACACACACAGGTACACACACTACCAGGTACACACTAATACACACACACACAGGTACACACACTACCAGGTACACACTAATAAACACCCACACAGGTACACACACTACCAGGTACACACTAATACACACACACACAGGTACACACACTACCAGGTACACACTAATACACACACAGGTAAAAGAACCAGAGGAACCGGAGGAACCGGCACTGTGGGGGAATGAAGATCTGATGCTGGATCAGCTGAGTGACAGATGTCTCCGTGTGTTGCTAGGTAACGGACGGCTCTCTGGTGGCGCTGGTCCAGAAGCAGGTTTCTGCCTACAACATTGCCAACTCTTTCACCTTCACCAGATCTCTGAGCAGATACGGTACTCACACACACACACAGTACACATTCATAATACACACAGTACACTACACACTTATACACACGGTACACTACACACTTTCTGTCAGGTAACATTTGTTTCTTCTTGTCTTCAGAGTCGTTACTTAGAACGTCCAGCAGTCCTGATAGTCTGCGATCCAGAGCTCCTATGATCACCCCGGACCAGGAGACGGGTACTGTAGTACTAGTGGTGGTAGAAGTATCAGTAGTATTAGTACTTCTAGTAGTTGTAGTAGAAGTCAATCACATGCTGATGTCACATGCCGTATGTTTACGTGACAAAGACAATGTAGCTACTGCTGTAGTGGTCGTGGTGTTGAGTATTATTGTGTACTCTATGTACTGCGTGTACTTCATTCTACACCTGTTGTGCGCTTCCAGGCACTAAACTGTGGCACCTGGTGAAGAACCACGAGCACAGCGACCAGAGAGAAGGAGACCGAGGCAGCAAGATGGTTTCTGAGATCTACCTGACCAGGCTGCTGGCTACCAAGGTAACCAGCTAACATGCTAACAGCTAATAATCTGTGCTCATTTAAAAGCTGCTTGGAGAGGTAGCTAGTTTCTTCATAGAGTGATATATATATTTTGTGATGATTTAGTCCTTTAAATTGTGGTGGGATAATAAACTTGCTTTGGTCCTGACGCACCAGGGGACGCTGCAGAAGTTTGTGGACGACCTGTTTGAGACGGTGTTCAGCACCGCCCACCGGGGCTCTGCTCTCCCATTGGCTATCAAGTACATGTTTGACTTCCTGGATGAGCAGGCCGACAAGCGACAGATCAGCGACCCGGATGTCCGACACACTTGGAAGAGCAACTGGTGAAGAAACTCAAAAGAGAGTGATGATTCTAACGAGACCTGGAGAAAAGCAGATTTACTAAATACGTTTATTCTCTGTGCGTGCGCAGCCTTCCTCTCAGGTTCTGGGTGAACGTCATTAAGAATCCTCAGTTTGTGTTTGACATCCACAAGAGCAGCATCACTGACGCCTGTCTGTCGGTGGTCGCCCAGACCTTCATGGACTCCTGCTCCACTTCCGAACACCGGCTCGGCAAAGACTCCCCGTCCAACAAGCTGCTCTACGCCAAGGACATCCCCAACTACAAGAGCTGGGTGGAGAGGTAGCTAACATGCTAACTAGCTCATAGTCAATAGTACACAGTGTGAGAGCTGGGTGGAGAGGTAGCTAACATGCTAACTAGCTCATAGTCAATAGTACACAGTGTGAGATCTGGGTGGAGAGGTAGCTAACATGCTAACTAGCTCATAGTACACAGTGTGAGAGCTGGGTGGAGAGGTAGCTAACATGCTAATTAGCTCATAGTACACAGTGTGAGAGCTGGGTGGAGAGGTAGCTAACATGCTAACTAGCTCATAGTACACAGTGTGAGAGCTGGGTGGAGAGGTAGCTAACATGCTAACTAGCTCATAGTACACAGTGTGAGATCTGGGTGGAGAGGTAGCTAACATGCTAACTAGCTCATAGTACACAGTGTGAGAGCTGGGTGGAGAGGTAGCTAACATGCTAACTAGCTCATAGTACACAGTGTGAGATCTGGGTGGAGAGGTAGCTAACATGCTAACTGGCTCATAGTCAATAGTACACAGTGTGAGAGCTGGGTGGAGAGGTAGCTAACATTTAATCGTGTGTGTGTGTGTGTGTGTGTGTGTGTGTGTGTCCTGCAGGTACTACAGGGACATTACGAAGATGCCCAGTATCAGTGATCAGGACATGGACGCCTACCTGGTGGAGCAGTCCCGTCTGCACGGTACCGAGTTCAACACACTGAGCGCGCTCAGTGAGCTCTACTTCTACATCAACAAGTACAAGGAAGAGGTGTGTGATGATGTCATCAATGTTCCTCTGATGTGACATTGTGAGCAACCAATCAGTGTTTGAAAGTCTGTAAAATGTAGTTTATGTGATAATAAATAGTATATATATATATATATATATATACTTTTTATATGTATCAAAGTGAATATATATAAAAAGTAAATGTAGTATTTTATTTGCTCATACACAGTATAAGAAGTGGATGAAGAGGTACGCTAACTAGCTTACGTTCGATAGTACTACTACTAGTAGTAATAGCATGTGTACTTACACATGTACTGCTGTGGTGGGGGGGACATGTTGACATTCGGAACGTGAAGCGCGTCCAACATTCAGGCGTGACCCTTGTTGTTGTTTTTGTTGACGTGTTGTTTTCTAATCCGTCGTCTCTCTTCCATCTCTGCAGATCCTGACGGCGTTGGACCGCGACGGCTACTGTCGCAAACACAAGCTGAGGCACAAACTGGAGCAAGCCATCAACCTGATGTCTGGGAGCAGCTGAGTGGACAGGGTGGGGACATATTGACCGATGGACCGATGGATGGGGGGGTATGAAGACTGGGGGAGGGGGGCGTGAATGTGTGTCGGAACTGTTCAAACAGTCAAACCGCTGTCAGCCATTAAGCAATGCATCCATCAGCAAGGCGTTGGTCAAGTGATCGATCGATTGGTTTGAGGAGCGATCGGCTGGATGGCTGCGGCCCAAACTACCTCCGTTCCGTCGGGTTTTGGGGCAGAAAAAAACTCAAACCTTTGAGATGAATCTGTGGGTTTTGATTTCCAGTGTCTGCAGGGACAGAAGCTACGGGTTGTCCCGGGCGACAAGCCTACGATGAGACCCGCGCACTCCCCGATCCAACTCGCCCCACGGCCCGTTTAGAAGCAGGTCCAGGTCCAGTCAACGCCTCGGACTTCACCTGATCCGGTCTGAAGGATCAAGGGCCCAAGGAGGTCACAGGAAGAACCTTTACCGTGAGAGTCCACGCTAATCCGGCTGGATGCCAAAAGGTCAAGTTCCAATCCGTTTTAAGGAAGGACGCTCCGAGGTCAAACCTCCTGCGACGGACTCGTGAGGTTGTTTCACGCTTCACCGATAGAGAACGAAGCAAAATAACCGACAAACTGCCTCACGTGGAACTTCCTGCTGATTCCCAGAGGACCACGGGCCTCCTCTTCAGGGGGAGCCGACGCGGTTTGACTTGACCTTGGACCGCTTCAACCCAGCGTCTTCAGGCTGAATGACCACTCGATGCTTTCTTCTCTGGACAATCACTCCGTACCACAGCACACTGAGCCCGATGCCTGCCGACCGACCGGTACCTGTGTCCCTGACCCCTGACCTCTCCTCCTCGCTCCATTCCTTACACCCCTCAACCTGTTCCCTCCCTGTCCTCTTTGGCCGTCCTATTGGCCAGGAAGACTTTTAGTAACGTACTGCCCGACCAGTCAAGACTGTGGAATCCGCCAGAACCGTAAATCTTAACTGTATCCAGAATCACATTTTGAATACATTCCAGCTCTGTAGACGAGCGGATGGACGTGCTAACGTGCTAACGCTAATGCGGACCGTTGAGGACAAGAACCGCCCTGGAAAAGGGGGATTTCGGGTTCAGCACCAGTTGGCGAGCCTTCGCACATCCGCCCACACAGCCATGCTAACCGCACCCAGGGGAAATACTGTGCCATGTGAAGAACCGGACCGGATCGTGTCAGAACTGGACCGGACTCGGACCAAAACCGGATGAAAAACCAGCCCGGAGTGGCGTTTTCGACCGGACTCAAGGACTTTTAAGACTTGTGGCCATAATTGTAAACAACAAAAGAATGAAGATAATAATAATAATAATAATAATGATGGTGATAAAGTATAAGTTAAACACTACAAAAACAAAGGAGAAAATAACTATGAAATGTTAACGTGTAATAAGAACTTTGTGGATTTTAAGGAGGTGAACTTGTATAAAGCTGAACGTTCGGGGGGGGCGGGGCTTAATATGTTGCATGTGGAGTCTGTTGATTTCCAATAAGGTCACCATGACGACGTAATCGCTGGACTTCTTTAACCCGTCCTCAGAACACAACACCCCCTCGTGTGTGTGTGTGTGTGTGTGTGTGTGTGTGTGTGTGTGTGTGTGTGTGTGTGTGTGTGTGTGTGTGAGAGAGAATTAAAAACCTTTTTATCTCATTTGCAACGATTTGAATTATCACATTTTCATCTTTCAGGCTTCTGAAAAATCTCCAATTGGACTTTTAGTTGTTTTTATTTATTAGGAGGAGGAGGAGGGCTGAGGGGTTGGGGGGGTCAAAGGGTCAAAGGCAAAGCAAGAGAGCCTAATTAAACACAGAAGGATGCTAAAGTGTGTGTGTGGGGGCTTAATACTGATCATTGAGGAAACCCCTTCATCTAACTGAGGAAGAGGAGAACAAGATGTATTAATCTGTTTTATAACTAGTCCAGCTTCACTTAAAGAAAGCATTACAAATTATAATATGAATAATAATAATAAACGTATTTACATGAAGCTTGAGGCAGTAGATGCTTTTATTATTAATCACAAACAAATGAAGTTTAAAAGAAGCTTCTGTTTACAATGAGTTCAATGATGTCGTACAGCCACGACATCGAGGAAATAAAAAGGTGTGTGTGTGTGTGTGTGCGTGTGTGTGTGTGTGTGCGCGCGTGTGTGTGTGTGTGTGCGCGCGCGCAGCACACAGCAGGGGGGAGGTAAATGAGACTTAAGAGGCCGTTGGCCACGTCTAATTCCTGGAACAGAATACAAAGCAATGTGGCTCAGAGTCCAACGTTGTCCTGCGGTCAGATATTTATTTATCGTTTGTATTTCTCCTCTAATTTATTTTTTAGACGAGTGATATTTATTGTTGGTGGACCAACACAGTTTCATTGGTTTGTAGAGACGACACACATACACACTCACTGAGACACACACACACACACACACACACACACACACACTGGTGCATTCTGGGGATGATCTATTTTCTGACTTTTATATTGATCAGAGATCAAACATAGCGACCCATCCATAGATTATCATCAATAACTTGTTGCACTGACCTCCCATTGAATAGCTATGGGAGTTTCCTGACCCCGCCCCCTTGCCAAGGCCCTCCCACTCCCAGTGATTGGCCGACCCGGCCGTGTCATTGTATCACAGCGACAGCAAAACCACTGGACTCGCTGAGCGTAAAGGGGGGTCAGATGTCTTTACTGTACCATACTAGAATTATTATCATTATTATTTCTTTATGTTATTGATCCGGCGATAACTCCACCTGTCAAGCCCCCTTCTGGTCCACGTTAGGCCCCTCTGGGTCCTCTTAGGGGTCCTCGGCCGCTGCCTCACTCCGGACCCGTCTCTCATTTCAGGAGAGGTCGTTAATTCTGGCTGCGTTTCGGGGGTCTTCTCATCGACCGTCGTCTGTCATTGGCCAATCAAAACATGCACGTGATGACATCACAGCCACGTCGCCTTCATGCAGCGCCTCCCAGGATGTAGCCAGGGCCCATGTTTTGATACCATTCTCCGTTGCCTTGTTTTTTATTTAGTTTAATTTAGTTGAACATGTAATGATGATGAGTGTTCTTCATGTAATAGCCTGTGTCCGTTTTATACCATTGCCATTGCCTTCTGCTGAGTTTGTATATTTGTGTGATTTCACTAAAGTGTAATGGAAACGTTTCATGTTTTTAATGTTTCAGACTAATTCCACTTTTAACGAGTTAAAGCTTCTGAATAAACAGATCACTTTTCAAAGAGCAGGAAGCTTCATGGTCAAGAGTTTCACAATAAAAGCAAGTTCTACAGGTTTCTGTCACAAAACAGTATTTCATTAATATAAATATTAACCTTTTATACTTTTTTTCTTTTTCTTTTTTAAATATTTGGACAAGTTCGGCGGGTCGGATTAAAAAGTCCAAGTATGAGACCTGTGAGCCGTGCTGGATTGGAGTTGGCGAATGACCCGGAAGTAGTGTAAGTGGTGTCATGATGAGAGCTGTTCACAAGAAAAGGAGCTCCGATGCTTCCTTACTTCATCTAAGCTGCTTCTTTGTAGCCCATTTTCGGAGAAATTGTAGTTTGCACCTCGTAAATTTTAATATTGCTGTCTCAAGGAATTGTGGGACAGAATTATCTCCTGTCCTTTTGTAGAAAAAGGTCCAGTGGTTCCTCAGGAGCCAAGTAAGGAAGCATTGAAGCTCCTTTCCTTACTCTATTTGAATCCAGCCCTTGCTAATGAGGCGCTCAGTGTTTGTGGGGAGATGAAAATACCCACAATCCCTCAGCGTTCCTCTCCAGAGATTAGAGCTCTTCTTTCTACCAACATTTAATGAATTCAAGTTCTTACTTGAAGTATTTTACTATCAAGCTCCATTATAAATACACACATATAACAGACATAAAATAATTAGGCCAAATCTCTCAATGGATCCGATCCGAGTTGTTAAACAGTGGAACATCTTTCTGAAGGAGATGAAGAGGAGGAGATGAAGAGGAGCAGCTGTAGTTCTTTACTGGATCACACTGACAGGTTTATATCTACTTTGTATTCATATTGGATGGAAGAACAACATACAAACGTAACTGAGGTGAACATTTAATTCAGGGCTTCTGTATCACATCACTCAGCATTACCTTCATAAAGGATTCATAAAGTAAAGAGGAGGTTTGATATAACAACAATAATTAATCAGCTCATATTTTACTGGATAGTAACACATTCCACACGCACTCCTACCGTTTGTCTCCTGGTTACTCAAGAGGCCGATAACTCTTCCTGCAGTTAAATGCACAAACATCACTATAAATTACATTGTAAATGTATCAATGCCTCTGAACCTCATCGGTGTCGCTACATCAATAGTGATGAACCTCTTAGTATTGTATGTATATAGTATAGTGATCAATGAGGCGATACACCGTGAGATACGTGACATCATTAGTGATTAACGTCATAGTATTTAATATCTATGATACAGTGATCAATCAACCTTAGATCTAAATGACAACCAGCTTCTGATACCTCATTCTTTCTTTTCTTCTTCTTTTCGTTCTTTTTTGGTTTTGAATAATTACAAATATTTCTCTCTGACTAATCTTGTGGCATTTTTAGCTGAACATAAATCAATGAATACAATACATCCAAAGAATACAGTTATTAACAGTGTAGGTTGGGTTTCAGTTAAGAATTAGTTGAATACCATTGTAATCAAAATGTCAATCAAACGCGACCCAGGACCTGTTAACCTGGCTGCTAGGAACCTCAGCGTGACACTGCTCATCCTTCTGGACCTCTCCAGAGCGCGACACATTTCAGGCTGAGAGAAGAACACAACTAAACGTTAGTTTATAATCACACAACAAAAGAAAAGGAGCAAAGCAAGTTCAGTCTAGCGACTTTGAGACACAGCGACAACGTGATGGGTGAGCGAGCTGACGCCTGCGACTCCACTTCCACTAAGCTGCGTAGTTCTGATGCAGACGCATGTTAGTGACGTCAGTCTGCAGCGGCAATGATACGTCACTGTTTAAATATAACCGCCGCAGGGAATTGTGGGCCGGGATTATCTTCCCTTTGGTAAAGGATGGACCAGTGGTGCTTCCCCTACCATCATAACAAGGGGGCGCCAACCTGGAAAAGTGTGTAATAAAAAATATATAAAATTACATTTTTTATATTTTTGTTGTTATTTTTCCAGCACGGAAGCTCCACACTGACATGAGATGTCGGGAATACGTCCGTGTGGCGCTCGCAGCGGCGGGGTGGGCCGAACCGTTTGCCCGACTACACCCCCCGGAGTGTTAAACCTTCTTCTTCTTCTAGTTAGAGGTTTATTACCGCCACCATGTGGACGGCAGACGGAGCAGGAGTTTATGCAGAACATGAAGAGTAGTGGTAAACCGAGGAAACACTGGGTTCCTACGCTAAAGCAGCTGAGGAAGGAGGCGTTGAAGCTCCTCCCTTAGTTTGCTTAGACGCTTGCACTACTTCCGGGTCATTTCACTCTGCGAGGATCCTTCCTGAGAAGATTGTCGTTAAGACACCGGAAGCCGGAAGTGTCTTTCAACCGGAAGACAGGCCAAGCAAGAGGCTACCCACCAGCTAACCTGCGGCCTGTGCTCCTCACCAGCGCGTCCACCCGTCAGTCCGAGTGTCTTCGCGGGACTCTTCCCAGGTGAGTGTCACCTGCTGACAGATAACGAGTGCTGAAGTTTAGCAGAGACCCCAGAAGCTAACCTCGGCTAACTAGTTCCGCCTGCTAACTGTAACTTGGTGAGCTGCGTTTGTTAGTGGACGTTTTAACACATCAGAGCAATGTGTACGTAGGGACAGGTATAACACACCAGCAAGTAGACGGAGCCCCCAGCTAGCTAGTTCACTTCCTTACGGGCAACGTTTCAACCAACAGACGGTGACGAGCTAAATAGGTTTGTTTCCAGTAGATATACGGGCCCGTGTCCTGGGGTAATACCGACGGTTTTCTCTTTTAAACCGGTCTTGTGACGGTGGGTGTTACAGAATGTAAAGTGTTTCTTGCTGCGTTAGTTATATTTGAGTGCTAGTTTATTCTAATTGGCTTTTATTAGTATGTTTTATCATTTATTAGTTAGTTACAGATCGTGTTGCAATCTGAAAAGACGTGAAGTTTCTTTGCCGTGACGTCAGCAGCCCCCCCACCGATCAGCTGATCACATGAAGTGATTTATGATCACGTGCTCAACATTACAGACACAATTATAACTGGATACGATCATTAAATCTGTTTCAATGTTATTGGTCGTGACTGCAGTGCATTTATATACAAATCTACTTCAATGGGTTTCAAACAATAAGTCAACTTTTTTTCTCACTTCTCAATTTTAATTAATAATTAAGTTCCGTGGTTGAATCGTGGAACTAAATACGTTTTTCCACTCGTAAAATAATTTTATTCAATTTGTAAACCGTAAAGGGTTTAATGACGTTCATCCAAACTGAGCTGGAATGATTAGTTATTGATCTATCAATCAGCATGCAATCTGCTGCCTTTCTTTGTTTTCTATTAACTGAATACATCTTTTTTTTTGGTCCGATTTATATTAATTGATATTGATCTGTCTTTATTTTCACATTGTTGTTACTGTGATGAACTGGTAGAAAACCAAACCAGGAACATTGAATCATCCAGACCTTTACATGAACTAATCAAGCTCTGCCTCTGATCGCCGTATTGATCGCCGTATTGATCGCCTATCTTAAATAGGTCCTGTGTAGTTTCTGTCGTATTTGTATTGATGCATGAGGGATAACGCCTGTCTCATGGTGTTTTTATGCAGATTAAAGACTTCTGTATTTGATCTTCAGGGGACGAGATGAGTCTTCAGTGGACGGCCGTGGCCACCTTCCTCTATGGAGAGGTCTTCTTCGTCCTGCTGCTCTGCATCCCGTTCATCTCCCCCAAGAGGTACCGAGCTCCCGGTTCTTCATCGGGGAAGTTTAGTGTGACCTCATCAGAAGGAAGGGGAGCGTCGTAAAGAAAAAAAAACCTACTACGCAAAACTCTTCTTTTAAAATGAAAGTTTAATCTTCTCTCAAACAAAGACGTCTGTTTGCATCATTAAAAACATGCATGTATCATTTAAAATGTATATAAATATTTAATGTATAAACTATGATAAATCACTGGCAGGCCAGCGTTTCTGAGATTGCAGTGAGACGAGGAGAAAAGGTTGTTCCGGTTGGTTGTTCCGGTTGGTTGTTCCGGTTGGTTGTTCCGGTTGGTTGTGCCGGTTGGTTGTGCCGGTTGGTTGTGCCGGTTGGTTGTGTGTTTCAGCCTGGTTTGTACCATTTATTATTCTACATGGATCATCAGAACTCTCAGCCCCCCCCTCCTTTATGAGTTTGCAGGTAGGCTTTGTCTTCTGTGTGTGTGTAATGTATGTATGAATATAATATATATATATATATATATTCATCTGCAGCAGTAGATGGCGTCGGCTGCAGCGTCATCAGGGAGAAGGTTAGGTACGTGTGCATCTCGGCCTTCAGTCATCCAGGTGACCTGAAGCTGGAATAAGTATCTGTTCTTTAAACCAAGCTAGTGTGCTAAATGGTAGTTGATTCTACTGTTTTAAGTTTAACCTGATTGCTAGTTTGCTTTAGGGCTGTCAACAAATATTCAGATATTTAGCAAATAAAATTAAAACTTCAGCGCGGCGGTCTGCTCAGTGGACGCGCGCCGGATACCGACTGTATGTCGCGTGAATAAAACAGACCAGATCTTCTACAGCAGCTTCATGCTTTGATTATTTGCCGTTCTGTGTTTACAGCTCAGCGTCGCTGCGTGAAACCGTCACTTACTGAATGAAGCCGGACGGGTTTGGGACAAGAACCACGACATTAAACTGCACTAAACTCCTGATCAGCACTTGTGTGTAATATATATATATATATATATGAGAGAGAGAATTGGTTAATTTTTGTGTAGGTAATATATTTAAATAAATGATCTATACAAGTAGTTTATGTCTCGTATTAATCAGTCCAGTTATTGACTCGTCTAATGCGCAAAAAGATATTCGAAGATCTGTGGCGTTTTTTACAGCGAACATTTGAAGGTCATTTTTGAGCGATTTTGACAGCCCTATTTTGCTTTAACCGTTTTTAGTGCCGGTTCTTGCTGGATTAAGTTGCCCTCCCATCTTTTGATCGGTTCGACCCGATCAGATTGTTGATCAAGGTGTCAAGCGGTTGTTGTGCTTTTTGAGGGCAATCAACCTTTTGTTTCCTAGATGTCGGGGAGTATTAACAAGAGGTTGGGTGAAGCACGAAGACGAGCAGAACAAAGACGAGGAGTCTTTCGTAGCGTCTTCAGGGCGCCTGAATGCGGCGCCTTTTCCTGCTATTTTTAATAACGTCTTTGCTCCCTGTATCTCTACCTGGTTCCACTCTCTTCCTGCACAATGAGCAGAGCTGAAATGATTCTACGCGTCTGGCTCTGACACTGTACACATACTGTTAATGGTTCATGTTTTGTCCATAATTTGAGGTAAAAAAAGAACTAAAGTTTTGCTTCAGTATGTTTTCTAAGTATTGTTTTAGCACTGATGTCACGATAACCCCGAACAATACTCGTCCCTAGTGGACACTCTTTTGGGGGCTAATTGAAATGTTTGGGGAAACTCTGCACACTTTACTATTCTCATTGTTAGTTTAAATACATTTTATCATTTATACACCGAGATTTCTACTCATGGAAGTTCAGTTTGAAGTCATGGAAAGATGAACCCTGTTATCTAACCGGGCTGGTTTGTGCTCCAGGTGGAGTAAGATCTTCAAGTCTCGGCTCATCCAGACCATCGCCATCTATGGGAACACCTCCTTCATGGTGGCCATCGCCATCCTCGTCTTCCTGCTCATCGGTACGTTTGGAGATGGAGTCTGTGACCAGCAGGGGGCGACACAAGCTCACGTAACCAGGACACGTTTATCACCACGATACGTCAAACAAGAATCAAACAGGATTTAATGCTATGGGTTTAAAATAAAGTGATAAAAGTTACAAGTATTTAAAAGGTAGAAATAAAGTTCACCAGTGAACAGAAAGTGACGTGTGATAAAGAGGAGAACACGAGGTCTTAATCTCCAGCATGATGTTCATTTAGTAAATGATGGTCCATTAAGAGTCAAACAGACCATGAAGCAGGGGGCGCTTTAGGGCGGGGCTACACGCTGATTGACAGGTCTCTGCCAGCCACGTATAGTAACGAGAGCTGTCAATATTAATTGACTATTGAAAAAAAGAAAATGAACTAATTAATTACATTTTATCACAATAATGTTTGACTGCATCAGTTTTGTTTCGGCCGTCTTAAGCTGTCAGTAAAGGAAGTGACGTTAAAACATCTCACGAGGACCGTGTGTGTGAGCGGTGACTTCACGTGTCGTGTGTGTCGTAGACGCCGTCCGGGAGGTGAGGAAGTACAGCGTGACGGAGAAGGTGGATCTGACCAACAACCCGACGGCCATCGAACACATTCACATGAAGCTGTTCAGAGCGCAGAGGAACGAGTACATCGCCGGCTTCGCCCTGCTGCTCTGCCTGTGAGACGCACGCACACGCACACGCACACACACACGCACACGCAGCGCCAGCACGGATACATTGGCTAAATGTTTTTCAAAGGTCAACATGTAGAACCCCCTCACTGTGGGTCCCTATGACATCATCACATGGTAACATAAGCACACCCAAGCTGGGAAATGTCAGAGGTAACACATGCGCTGGGGGGGGGCGGGGGGGGGCTATATTTGGTGAGATGTCAGTGTGACGGATGACTTGACACACAGTCATGTGAGAAACTGAGTGGACGTCAGTGAATATATAGATGGTTCATATTTATTTTTCACATACGTGTTCTACTTGTGCTGCTCAGTCTTTTCTCCAGAGGAGCAGGACTTTTATCTCAAAGGTCCCGCCCACGCTGGGAGGACCTGGTGAATCTCTTCCTCGTTGGTGAATCTCTTCTTTGTGTGTTTCAGACTCCTGCGGCGTATCGCCACCCTGCTCTCCCAGCAGGCCACGCTCATGGCGTCCAACGAGGCCTTCAGGAAGCAGGCGGAGGGCGCCAGCGCCGCCGCCAAGAAGTACATGGAGGAGAACGAGCTGCTACAGGAGGTGCAGGCACACACGCACACGCACACGCACACACGCACACACACACTGGTAATCTGAGCTGTTTTATGGGGTGAAAAGATCACCAAGTCTTCTGCTAAAAAGAGAAATTGCTTCATCTGCATGTGACGCACACACACACACACACACACACAGTACCAGTCAAAGGTTTGGACACACCTTTTAACAAATGGATATTTTAAGTTCTAAATCAAGTCTACGAGGTAACTGCACACAATGTGTGTGTGTGTGTGTGTGTGTGTGTGTATTAAATAAGTGACCAGACACACACACATCACAGTATTTAGATCGTTGCTTCCTCCTCGTCACCTCTTGGTGTTTTCATCAGATGCTAAATGCTCCGCGTCACTCACAAGTCCCTCCTTCCTGTCAGAGGAAGCTGTCGCTCTTCTCCACGTGTGGCTACTTGAATTCTATTGGCTCTGACGATGGAAAGGCGGGTCAGACTTGATGGGACGAGGGTTGTCTCCATCACATACACCTGGTCCTCATCCTGATGTCTCCTAAGGACAAAGACAGACCTTTATGTTCCTTTTAACCTCTGCTGGGACGCTGAGGCCTTCAGACGGGCCTGCAGGTGCATCGTGGGTGTGAGCGGCTCTTTGAGCAGCTGCTGCTCCTCCTGCGCTGTGACGTCCGTCTCCTCCTGATGACGCCAAATATTTGTTTCTAAGAAACGTTTTGATCTGAACAGAAACTCCAGGACGCGGGCGTGGAGGGACTGGAGGGCGGAACCAAAGGAGGCGCACAGGGGGAGAGCAAGGGTCTGAAGGAGGAGGTGAAGACACTGAAGGAGGAGCTGGAAAGCAGCAGGAAAGGTGGGGGCGGAGCTTGTCTTCTGGGTGACGTGAGGGTCCTCACCGTCCCGTGACATGAATGTTTGTCCAAAACCATCAGGGTTCAAATAACGTGATCTGTGAGTTCTGTCACATGTTGGACTGTCGCTGTGCTGAAATACAAGATGTACTGTGTACTCTGCTGATGTACTTTCTGTGTACTCGTGTTCTTCAGCTCTTCAGAAGTCTGACAGCGACGTTCAAGCGATGAAGAAACAGGCGGAGAATCTGACTGTAGAATATGACCGACTGCTGGAGGAGCACAGCAAGCTGCTGGTAACGCACACGCACACGGACACGCACACGGACATACACGCACACGCACATACACGCACGCGGACATACACGGACATACACGCACACGGACATACACGCACACGGACATACACGCACACGGACATACACGCACACGGACATACACGCACACGGACATACACGCACACGGACATACACGCACACGGACATACACGCACACGGACATACACGCACACGCACGCACACGGACACGCACGCACACGGACACGCACGCACACGGACACGCACGCACACGGACATGCACGCACACGGACATACACGCACACGGACGCACACGGACGCACACGCACACGGACATACACATACACGGCACATACACGCACACGGACATACACGCATGAACCAAACATCTTCTCTGAATTTGTTTTCTCCGCTCTGTTCTCGGTCTGGCAGCAACCAGCGACAAGAAGTGTGACTGAGGAAGGCGGGCCGTGTGCAGCGTCATCGTGATGTCACTTCCTGTCCTGCATCAGCTGACTGATTATGATTCTGAGCGATGAATGTTTGGACGTCTTTGTACGAGTTCAACAAGTAATAAATAAAGTCGATCCTCTGCACGCGCATGTTGGTGCTGTTGGACTCCTACAAAGTTTCGTCTTTATGGAGACAAACGCCGACAAGTAAATTGTCTTTTTTGGGTGTTTGTTTATATTTGAGTGTTTACGCTTTACTTTTGTTTTCTGCGTCTCAAGGCTTCACCTGCCTGTTAAAACTGAACTTCCTGTTCATTGGATGAGCAACACAGTTCTGTGACATCACAGCAGGAAACACGTTCATAATGTCATTGAAGCAATTCGACTTTATGATCTCAGAATGTTGAAGGGGAGAAACTTTTATTTTGAAAATCCTGTTTGTTCCTCCGGTTGAGGTTTCACTTTAAAATCCGATGTGTTCAGAGAGCAAAGTCATTCCAGTCGACTTATTGATGAGAAGTTATTGCTTGTGATCGGTTGAGTCCTGTTTACGTTGTTTATTTCTACGGTTTGTTTCCGTTTTCTCTCCTTGTTTTAATTGTTCTGGTAACTGAAATAAACACGCGGCACAAACTGATGATTTCAGCCTGTTTATTTTACCGTTAATCTTCATCTAGTATTTAGTATCTCACACTAGTACTTCACTACTCGGGGTCTAAACTTGGCGGCGTCCTCGTGGAGCAGCTGTTGGTCTGAGCCCTCCGGCATCGGGAGCCGGTCTGATCCGCCCTCCCCCCGGCTCGCCTTTCACTGCTGGACGTCGTCTCCGTCTTCTGTCTCGGGCTTTCCTAGAAGACAAAGGAATGTCTGCCGGGGGGACGGGGGGGACGCAACGGGACCTCAAATGTCATTTCAAACCTAAATTACTTTGTCTTCTGTCTGAAGGACCCCCCCCCTCCATGTGTCCTCTCATTCCCCCCTTTGACTCCTTCTCTTCTCTCCTGTGGTGATGTCATGCAGAAGCTGGTCCTAGTAACCACGGAGACGGATTAATTTGTCATGACGTTAGTTTATTTTTGTTGACAAGCACAGTGATCACAGCATGGCGACCCGCGGAAGGTCGAGGGGGTCAAAGGTCATGAAACACCATCAGGGCTCAGTTAACTATGACATCATCAAATGAGTCGGAGCGCCGAGTCGTTGGTACAAAGCTACTAATCAATACGTCTACTGATCGCTCTGATCGGGTCTGGAAGACGAATCTCAGAGAAATGAATGAAGGTTCTTCAACTACGGCTCCCATGATGCTTTGCTAGAGGTAAACGGTGAGTGATTATTTTTTATTCCATAAATTTGACACCTTTAGGGAGACTCGCTGCCCCCCCACACCCAATAATCCAACTCCGCCCCCAAAACACTTACAGATCAAACCTCATATCACAATTCAGTTGTTCAGCTTCAGCAATAATTTTATTCAAAAGAAAACAACCTTATTTTTTGATGTTAAAAACACTTTGGTGACGTTTTGGCTATAAAATCATTGCAACTATTTTTCAAAAAGTATCTAAAAGCAAAAGTTAGACATTAAATCCCTTTTACAAGCGGAGTGTTTTTGGACTGAATGAAAATTTGATGGTTTCAGAGGTAACTTTTGAAATATTTTGAATTAGTTTCTAATATTTAATATCTGTCTAATTTTATTTTCATGTTTAGAAAAAATTTTGTGTCTAAAAATGATGTAAATACATTATTCAGAGTCACATTGTATTAATTTGATCTTTTTTATCTTGTTATCAAAAATGAAACCTCAGATAATTATTTGTGCAAAATGTTTTTAGTAATTATTTTTCTAGAACTTCCAATCAACTTGAATAACTTAATTATTAACTTTAAATGAAAGTAATATTCTAATAATCATAATAATGAACAGGAATAAACCGGAATTGGGAAACCAGACACCTTTTGTTTATGTGTGACTTCCTGTCATCTGCAGTTTTAATCAAGTTTAAAATAAATATTCTGTCACGTTATTTTTGGCAGAAGCACAAAAACCAAATTACATGAAACATCAGATTTTGATAAATCTCAACTGGCTTTTTTGAGATCTTTTTTCTAGATAGATATTTTATAAATGCATATAAAATCCTCCAGAGATGAGAAAAATAACTCACAATATCAGTTTGAGTTAACGTTCTGTTTGATTAGTGAAATTCTCATTATCCGCGTCACGTGACCTTTGAACAATAATGTTTTAATTAGTAATAATAATCATCCCTCAGCAATAGTTCCATCTTTAATTAGTTTGATGTTTAAACAGTTAATTAACTTACACCTTTATCTCCAATTATAATAATTTTGATTAAAACTCTTTTATAGACAGATTTTCCTTTTCACACTCAATTGATATAAACTGGAGTCTCACACTGGCTGCTGGGAAATGTAGTTCTTATTGTAAACAGCAGCGTGCTGTGCTGTTTGTGTAGTTCTTACTGCGTTGCTGGCTACTGGTTTATTATTATTGTTCTGCCTGTTGCACCAGCTGACAGATTGCAGAAAAATGTTCGTTCTTCCCCTTTTTAAATAATAATACTTCTTTTGATATCCCCTCCGCATGAAGTTTTGAAGTAAACTTCATGCGGAGGGGTTGGGGGGGTAAATTCATTAAATTGTCTTTGAGCACTTTTAAAACCAGAAATCAAAAAAGTAAAAAAAGTTTCCCTTTCTTGGTGCATTCAGAAGAAGCCTCCACAACACTGAGGCAAACCCGCCAAAATAAAAGCCCTGCTCCCCGCTGTTTGTTCACATTAGCCGGTCGGACGGCGTTTAAGGGCCTCGCAGCACCAACGTGTGTAAATATATATAAAATATAATACTTCAAACCGTATTGCATTAAATGGGACACTTACAACATGTATCATAGATTTGTTCAGTTGTTTTCTTCTTTTTAACTGTTGTTCTTAGCATGTCACATTGTTGATCATCGGCGTTTAATGGAAATACTTCCCAGAAAGCGTTCCCGCCGTTCCATTTGCATAAAAAGCTGAAAGATTTATTTTGAAAATCTGAAATGAGGTAGCCTGAAGAGTCTCTTCATCGCTCGTCTGACGAAAACGTGAACAATCAGCCAGAGATCGTCATCACATACTGCATCAAATATAGATAATCAATATATCTGTCATAGTCACAAAATAAAAGCCTCCATAAAATAAATCTGATTCATTTTACATTATTTAAAACAATACGCAAGCTTTTTAAAAGCAACATTATTGTACAACAATGTGCAAGTTATCTTTTTTCTCTCTCCCTATGACAGCTGGATGGTTGCTAGGAGGCAGATCGTAGACGCGTCCCTGCAGACTGCCGATTGGTTGGATGTACGTGTTTCTCGAGAGTCGAAGACAACGACGTAAGGCAACGCTAGGTTGAGTCCTTAGGCTCTCATCGCTCCAGCAGCAGGTCAACACTGATTTATAAAATTTATAAAAATTATAATCGTTAATCTCTAAATAAGGATAACTACTATTATTAATTATTTACATGTTATTTATTAGTACATTAATATTTTAATATTTTTTAAATCAAATTAGCAATGATTAAATCAAGTGACCCAATGACCCAAACTGGATAATATTTGTTCGTATTGGGTTTTTGTATATATTTAGATTGCAGAACACTTTTGATCAGATTCCATTTAATACATTCATTCTATTTAAATATAACCTGAACAAAGTTTTAGTTTTTCTCTGACATTTTAAATTTAAGTTTTTTTTTAGTGCAAAGATTTATATACATTTTTGTCATTTTTCCGGTCCAAATATTCTGGTCTGATTCTCTGAATCTCTGATGAAGCTTTTAATTATGATGTTAGTTGATGTTTGGGGAAGAGCGCGGCGTCCGGTGGGAGGAGCTCAGCGTTGAAGAAGAAGAGTGAGCGTGTTATTGGTCTGGGATCAGCGCTGCTCCGTTTGGCACTTTAGTTGACCAAGGGGTCAAAGGTCAGATCCACAACGATAGAGCAGCTGATCCAGCGTATAATAATGTTGAATTTCTTCAATCGGGAATAATGATCAAAGATCTATCTATTCACTTATTAATATAATTGGTTAGTGTCTCAAATTCTTTCTGTAAATTCATGGGGGGGTTCTGAACATTCCAGAAACCCCCCTTCATGAAAAGATGGAGGTCTGACGAGAAGATCTCATCACGCTGCGTCACGCTGACCAGACACAGCGAGTAAAAAACTGCGACAGCTTTCTGAGGTCCGACTGTCTACAACCGCGTCAGAGTGACGGCCTGCGTGTGTGTGTGTGTGTGTGTGTGTGTGTGTGTGTGTGTGTGTGTGTGTGTGTGTGTGTGTGTGTGTGTGTGTGTGTGTGTGTGTGTGTGTGTGTGCGATTCTCTTCTCAGAAGCCCGACGTTCGACAGTGTTTTTTCTTTCTTTTCTTTTTTCAACCTTCTTCTTCTTCAGCTCTTTCGTTGTTGGACATTTTGTCAAAAAGCTTATCATTTGATCCTTAAAATAGTCAAGGCGAATAATTTGAACAATCCCTCCCCCCATGTGGAGGAGCACAGGAGTGGAAGCCCGTCACAGGAAACCCAGTGAGCTGCTGGTTTGAATGTGGAGAACGTGGATGTATAAAAACAGTCTCGCTCTCTTCTTCTTCTTGTGGAACACGGCGAAGGCCGGGTCAGGACGGGAGGCAGCCAATCGGCAGCCACCCTCCGGGGAGTCCCACCTACATGACGCTCTCGAAGATAATGACCTTGTTGTCGTCTGCGGCGGACAGGGAGCTCAGCGACTTGATGTCGGGGGCCATGTACTCCAGGGTTGTGCGTTTGCCCCCACACTGCGGGTGGTTCAGGTCGATGCCAAGCCGCTTGCAACACACAGACATGTAGGACAAAGGATTCAACCATATTCATCTACCGTCCATCTTACCTGTCCATCTACCTGTCCCATCTACCTGCCCATCTACCTGTCCATCTACCTGGCCCCCCTGACGGGCTGAGTATCTGGTTCAGTCAGGTGTATTAGTCCCAGTATTTAATCAATGTTCTTCTTTGGATCAATAGAGAATCAAGATCTGTCTCCATGTCCTTCTCCCTGTCTGTCTTCCTGTCCCGTCTCTGTGTCCTTCTCCGCGTCTGTCCACACTGACCTCTTTGAAGGTCCCCTTGGCCCTGAAGAGCTTGTAGAGGAGGCTGACAGGAATGCAGAGCATGGAGGACAGCGCCATGCACCATCCGATGACCTCGCCCCACCAGGGGTAGACGTACTGGTTGTTGTAGGTCAGCGGCTTGTAGTTCACCAGGTGGAACATGAAGATGCCCTGGAGAGGGAGGAGGAACATACATGTGTCATGTATATGTCATGTCATTTGTAATTCATGTATAAGGATCATCTCGTCTCACCAGACAGACACAAGGGGTGATGAAGGACCAGCACCACTTCATCCAGGGGAAAGGGCGGTAGCCAATCATCCGAGCCACGTCGTCCATGAAGCGGTCAGCACCTGCAACAAAGTAGAGTCCTCAATAGTATGTGTCAATAACTAAATTGACATTGAAAGAGTCCTAAATACTATATGCCTATGTGCCTCTCCAGAGAGCATCGCCGTATCTCGGTGGAGAGGTTTGTGTGTCCCTATGGACCTTAGAGGTGTACTGTCTGGAGCCTGGTGGTCCTGGTATGGTTACCCTTGGCAAAGTTGTCTCAGGCGAGGGGCCAGGCTAAGAATGGTTCCCAAAGACATTGAAGAGGGACACGGCCCAGAGGAAGCCCGGGAACCCATGTGGAGCCAGGCCCAGATGGCGGGCTCAACAGCGAGTGTCTTGTGGCTGGGCATGCCGCACAACCGGGTGGGCATGGCCCAAAGGTGTCGCCTCAATACGACTGTGGGTTGTGGGGGGAACTTTAGACTGTTGTCCTGTGCATATGCACCAAGGCAGCATCTCAAAGTATACAGCCTTTTTAGAGACCCTGAAGGGAGTCTGCTTAGGGCTCCAGTAAGGGACTCCATAGTACTCCTAGGAGTCTGATCTGAGACTGCATGTTTTGGACACTCAGATAAAGTCTCAGAGGGGCAGAGCTGTCAACTGCTGGGTCAGAGGATGGGGGGGAGACTCAGGATAGACCTGGTAAACCCAAGCGCATATTGCGGGTGAACTGGGAACGTATGGAGGAGGCCCCGGTCACACCTCCGGCCGGAGTTCTCTCACATTCCTGTGGAGGTGGGGGACATTGAACCAGAGTGGTGTATGTTCAAAACGTGCACTGACGCTGTGGTGGTAAGTTGTGGCCTCCTGAATCCAACTACTCCCTCTTTGGTAGAGGCGGAGCTGGAGGCGGAGGAGGGATCATCGTCAATTTGCCTGGTGGAGGCAGTCAAACAACTCCGCAGTGGCAAAGCCCCGGGGATTGATGAGATCTGTCCGTAGATGCTGAAAGCAATGGGTGTTGGGGGGCTGTCATGGATGACAAGCCTCTTCAAATGGAAGTCTGGGACAGTGGCAAAAGAGGGGCAGATCGGGGTGGTGGTACCTCTGGGGACCAGGGAGCGTGCGCTAACTACATCATACTACTCAGCCTGCCGGGTAAAGTCTACTCCAAGGTGCTGGAAAGGAGGGTTCGGCCGATAGTTGAACCAAGGATTGAAGAGGAACAATGCGGTTTTCGTCCTGGTCGTGGAACGACGGACCAGCTCTTTACTCTTTCCAGGATCATGGAGGGGGCCTGGGAGTATGCTCATCCAGCCTACATGTGTTTTGTGGACCTGGAGAAGGCGTATGACTGGGTCCCGGCAGAGATAATGTGGGAGGTGGTGCGTGAGTACGGGGTGAGGGGATCCCTACTTGGGGCCATCCAATCCCTGTACGCCCAAAGCAAGAGCTGTTTTCGGATTGTCGGTGTCCAATCCGGCGGTGGTTGGCCTACATCAGGGTTGTGCCTTGTCACCAATCCTGTTTGTTGTATTGATGGACAGGATATCGAGGCATAGTCGGGGGAAGGAGGGTTTACAGTTTGGGGAGCTGCATATCTTTTACATCCTTTGCTTTTTGCAGATGATGTGGTCCTCATAGCATCTTTGGTCTGTGACTCTCACTGGGGGTTCAATGGAGGATCAGCATCAGTAAATATACTACAGTTTTCTGATTCCACGTGAAGTCATTTTGTTTCTCACTTCAGCTTTAGGATCAAGTTTGATTACATTTTACTACTAATTCTAAACTATATCAATCTTTTCATGACTTGTATCTTGGAGTTGATGAAACCAGAAGAGATGAAGATCTTTTTCTACATTTATTGGGCTTTATTCATCATTTTGTTTTTGTAGTGAAGTAAAATGATTGACTATAATCTGTTTCCCGACCGCAGGATCAGCACCTCTAAATCTGAGGCCATGGTTCTCAGCAGGAAACCGATGGATTGTCTACTCCAGGTAGGGAATGTGTCCTTACCCCAAGTAAGTTCAAGTACCTCGGGGTCTTCTTCATGAGTGAGGGGAAGATGGAGTGTGAGTTTGGGTGGAGAATCGGAGCAGCGGGGGCGGTGTTGCACTCACTTTACCGCACCGTTGTGACGAAAAGAGAGCTGAGCCGGAAGGCAAAGCTCTCGATCTACCGGTCAATCTTCGTTCCTACCCTCACCTATGGTCATGAAGGATGGGTCATGACCCAAAGAACTAGGTCACGGGTTCAAGCGTCTCCCTTAGAGGGTGAGGAGCTCAGCCATTGGCGAGGAGCTCGGAGTAGAGCCGCTGCTCCTTTGCGTCGAAGGGAGCCAGTTGAGGTGGTTTCGGCATTGTCCAGACCGGCCCGCCGCCAGAGTCTGACTTTTTGTGAGAATTAATTAATTATGTCCCCCCCTCGTTGGTGTCGTAAAGTTAAAAAGTTAAAGCGACCGAACTGTGACTTTTATATACGGTGTCATAAGATAACACAACTATTTGCACACACTGAGCGCACACACATCCCTGAAACACGACACTGCGTGCATGTGTGTGTTACCGGCTACATCTTGACTAGGCAGCACTTATTTAGTTTGGCTTTCTTTCTCGATTCTTCTTGTTCTGGGTGTGTTCTCCTAGTAGAATGCGGTTATTGTGTGTGCGTACCGTAGACCCAGGAGACCACGATGCATTCCCAGAAGGCCTGCCACAGCAGAGTCATCCCGCTGGCCGAGTAGTAGTCGAACAACTGGAAGACGTACATGCCGGCCTGCAGAGAGAGGCATGGGGGTCAAATGATGACATCTACCTCATCTACTCGTACTGTATTATTATAACATAGTCCTTCATATGCAAATCACTTCTGTTAAATGGATTGAACGTGAATCTTCCACTTGTTCAGGTTGATTTGGACTGAAGGAGACACCAGTGGAGTCTCACCTGCGTCACCATTGAGAGGTCGATGATGAAGCACAGCGAGCAGCACACGGCCACAGAGATCTCCCTCTTGTAGCGGTACTGCTGCTTCCCGGGGAGCAGGTCCAGGATCCCGGTGACGAAACCCTCCACCCCGACGAACTGCAGACATTAAGCGCGTGACGTTACTGACAAGGTGGGAGAGGAAGGAAGGAAAGGCCAGTTATGACTACGACAACCTGCCTCAGCTCAGTGTGTCCAACTGTCCAAGTGATGCCGTGCAAGGCATTATGGGACAGAATGATCTACTTTCCTGAGCTAATAAAGGAAGCACCTTTCCTATGCTAAGGGAGCTAATAAAGGAACCAGCGAACCTTCCATGGAGGACTTTGGAACGCGGCCCTTAAGGACACTTATTGATCACCTGGCTGTCGAGTCCCAGAAGCAGCAGCATGAAGAAGAAGAGCGCGGCCCAGAGAGGAGCCACCGGCATCAGGCTGACGGCCTTCGGGTAGGCGATGAAGGCCAGTCCAGGACCTAATGTAGTAATAATAATGATGATGATAAAAATAATGAAGTACTACACTACTAACAGAGTCTGCATAGTCAAACTATGCACACGTCTGTGTTTGAATAAGGAATGAATAAAGATCTCCTACTTTTATTGTGGGGGAATAGAGTTTTATTTGAGTTGTATCATCGTGGCAGTGATGGATAATATTCTAACACACTCTGAGATCTATCGAGTGCGTTATAAATCAAATGTATTATCAGTATTATTATTGTTATTATTATCCATCCATCTTCAAACCACTTATCCTTCATAGAGTCGCAGGGGGCCGGAGTCAATCCCAGTTTAATACCAATACCTAACAACAATAACAACAACAATTACTAACAAGGAAAATCATTGAACAGCTGCAATAAATCTATAACCTCTAACCTCAGTGTTCCAGCTGATTATCTTAATTCAAACTCCTCCCATACATGAGGTTCAAACTCACTACCGGCCCTTTAAGAGTCTGTTGATTGACAGGTGGGCCGTCCAATCAGCCGAGAGCAGCTCCTGCTAAGTTACAGGAGACCGATGAGTCACACGTCACCAGGTGTGAAGGAACGCACACACACACACACACACCGACACGCACACCCACACACACACACTGACACGCACGCACACACACACACACACACAAACACACACACCGACACGCACACACACACACACACACACACACACACTGACACGCACGCACACACACACACACAAACACACACACCGACACGCACACACCGACACGCACACACACACACCGACACGCACACCCACACACACACACACTGACACGCACGCACACAAACACACACACACACAAATACACCCACACACCGACACGCACACCCACACACACACCGACACGCACGCACACACACACACACACCCACACACACACACACCGACACGCACACCCACACAAATACACACACCGACACGCACACCCACACACACACACCGACACGCACACACACACACACACACCAACACGCACACACACACACACACACAAACACACACACCGACACGCACGCACACACACACACAAATACCCACACACCGACACGCACGCACACACACACACACAAACACACACACACCGACACGCACACAAACACACACACACACCGACACGCACACAAACACACACCCACACCGACACACACACACCGACACGTACACACACACACACACACACACACACACACGCACACACACACACCGACACTCACACACACACACACGCACACACACCGACACTCACACACACACACCGACTCGCACGCACACACACAGACACACACACACGTACACGCACACACACACACACACACCGACACGCACACACACACACACGCACACACACACCGACACGTACACGCACACACACACACAGACACACACGCAGTTTGCGTTGTTCATATTTATAGTAGCACACTAACATGGTGAATAAGGAATAGACCTGAATACGTTTGTGATGTCACACCATGTGATGAAAGCTATTTATAAACATGCAGTTGGCACACGCACACAGACACACAAACGCACACACAGTCCCTCCATAACAGACTGCAGTAAAGCTGGTTTAACGTGGATGAACAAGCAGCAGTGAAGCGAGTCTCACTGCTTCAGGGGTCAGAGGTCATGCGTTTAATGTTCAACCCCCCTGTGTGTTTAAGGGACAGCACAACCTTTGAACTTGTGAAACTTGGGTCACCTGACTCGGCGACCTGCGAGATGTCGACTCCCTGCTCGGCGGCCATGAAGCCCAGAATGGAGAAGACCACGAAACCAGCGAAGAAACTGGTCCCACTGTTGATCATCGCCAGGACGAAGGCGTCTCTGAGGGACGGGAGACGAGTAGCTTAGCAACGCGTCTCACGCGGCGTACAGCCTCATAGTATTACTACTTTACTGCTAAACTCATACTACATTTATGACTGTCTAGTACTGCACGGTATTACATCTCAGTAGATAGTACACTATAGTACTATAGTACACTATACTCCATCCCAGACGTGGAGGTCGTACTTGTAGCAGTCGTTGTTGAAGCGGTTGTAGCTGCCCAGAGCCGTCAGAGCTCCGAGGCCGATGGCGTAGGAGAAGAAGATCTGAGTCCCGGCATCGATCCACACCTGAGGGGAGGTCAGAGGTCAGAGGTCAGAGGTCAGGGACCCTTCTTTTATTTTTCTGGTCCTGGTCCTTCACCCACCTGCGCCTCCCCCAGCTTGGACCAGTCTGGTTTGATGTAGTACATGATGCCGTCGTAGGCCCCGGGCAGCGTGACGCCTCGGACCAGCAGGATGACGAGCACCACGTAGGGGAAGGTGGCTGTGAAGTACACAATCTGACACACACACACACACAGACACACACACACAGGAATGTGGAGGGTCAGCACCATGGAGAGCGCTCGGTCTCAGGTTGGGTCGAGTTTCAGTCAAATCACAGCAGAGAACGAGAACCCCCCCCCACACACACCCACACAGACTCACACACACACACAGACACACACACACAGACACACACTGAGGTCTTTGGGTTCATTGTGTCATTCATAACCCCCGACTATCAGTCTCCTGCTGACGATTAACAACAACAGTCTCAGTTGGCACTGAGATCCGTGTGAACGCTGCTGACTTACTCACACACACGCACACACACACACACACACACACACACACACACACACACACACACGCACACACACACTGAAGTCTTTGAGCTCACTGTTTCATTCATAACTTAAATCTATTTGTTAAAACTAATACAATTTTACTGAACAGGCTTTTATTTTTTGGTGAAACTGTGTGTGTGTGTTTGTATATGTGTGTGTAGTACACGGTGCACAGTACACGGTACACACAGTACACGGTACACGGTACACACAGGTACTTCTCCCTCTGACTCTGTCACGTCTCACTGCAGTCGAGCTGCCCTCCCACAACGACCAATCAGGACGCGCCACCTCACAGCCCCTCCCCTTCCTCCTCCCTGTCGTAGTCACGGCAACGCTAAGGCCCAGCATGTGACGCAGTGTGAGTCTCACCGTCACATGCTGGTGAGACACATACACACCGACACACACACACACACACACACACCGACACACACACACACACACATACAACGACACACACACACCGACACACACACACACACACACCGACACACACACACATACACCGACACACACACACACACACACATACACACACACACACAGACACACACACACACACGCACACAGACACACACACACACGCACACAGACACACACGCGCAGTGAATCTCAGCACCGTGAAGGTTGAACTCTTAAAGGAACAGTCACACATTTATTCTTCTGTTTTAAATCAAACCCCCGCGGACTCCTGAATGAAAGCCAGCGGCCGAAGCTCTGCTCTCTTATTGATGCAGCCGCACAGAAGCCGATCAATCAGCTGTCCGCTGACCTCTGACCTTCAGCCTGTTATGTAAATGACCCCCAGCTGTTCAGCCGGCCCGTGCTCTGGTATGTATGACATTGTGGGGACTTGAAAGAACAACGCAAAACGTTCCTTAATCACGACGATGTGACGAAACACAACCTGAAACTATTGATAAACACAATATGTGACAAGTTGGCAACTTAAGGTATTTGTTATTTCATTTATCTATAATTATTGTATCCAGTCAAAAGTCTGGACACCCGGTCCAAACGGTTGACTGGTACCGTATGTATTAAAACATTCACAACAATGTGAGGACTAACTGAGCAGATATGAGGACGTGATCACATCCTCGTATCAGGGACGTTGTGGGGCCACAGATAAAACACCAGCTCCATCCATCCATCGTCAAACCTCTTATCCTGCACACGGGGTCGCAGGGGGCTGGAGTCCATCCCAGCCAACTTCAGGCGATAGACGGGTTCACCCTGGATTGGTCGCCAGCCAATCACAGGGCTACACAGAGACACACAACCATTCACACTCACATTCACACACCTACAGGCAATTTAGAGTCACCATCAACCTGATCCCCAGAGCAGGTCTCTGGACTGTGGGAGGAAGCCAGAGAACCCGGAGAGAACCCACGCAGACACGGGGAGAACATGCAGACTCCACACAGAAAGGCCACTGGGCGGAATCGAACCCAGGACCTTCTTGCTGTGAGACGACGGCGCTGACCACCAGGCCACCGTGCCGCCCAAACACCAGCTCACACACCTTAATAAAAATAAAAAATGCTCGAGCATTTTACGGTTTTCATTTTATCTGACTTCTCTAGCAGGACCCTGTTCCTCGTACGTGGTTCAACTACGTCCATCAAATGTCCGATCATCCGGCCCAAGTTACCGAGATGATTGACATCAGACTATCTCGGTTCCTTGAAGGCGGATCGGCGCTCAAAACAGTATGAGAGACAGTCTGTGGGACAGTGTGTGAGACAGTCTGTGAGACAGTCTGTGAGACAGTCTGTGGGACACTGTGTGAGACACTGCGTCAGACAGTATGAGAGACAGTGTGTGGGACAGTGTGTGAGACAGTCTGTGAGACAGTCTGTGGGACAGTGTGTGAGACAGTCTGTGAGACAGTCTGTGAGACAGTCTGTGGGACACTGTGTGAGACACTGCGTCAGACAGTATGAGAGACAGTGTGTGGGACAGTGTGTGAGACAGTATGAGACAGCATGAGACACAGTGTGTGGGACAGTGTGTGGGACAGCATGAGACAGCATGAGACACAGTGTGTGGGACAGTGTGTGGGACAGCATGAGACAGCATGAGACACAGTCTGTGGGACAGTGTGAGACAGTATGAGACAGTGTGTGAGACAGTCTGTGGGACAGTGTGTGAGACAGTATGAGACAGTATGAGACACAGTCTGGGGACACTGTGTGAGACACTGCGTCAGACAGTATGAGACACAGTCTGGGGGACAGTATGAGACAGTATGAGACACAGTCTGGGGGACAGTAGATGCTCGGCTGCAGCGTGTGCTGTTCATCACGTTATGTTACGGCTCCAGAAGGTCGTAAATAAATGATTCTGGTCCTCAGCATCTGCAGCGCTCGTACAGGACGTGATGGTGACGTCATAACGGGTCTCTGTGATGTCATACAAGTCTCTCCCTATAAAACGTTCATCTAACTGATGTCGCTTCTTCATCAGTGAGGAGAGATGAACTGATCCAGCAGCTCAGATGAACCGCAGCAGGTTCATCAACCCGGATACGAGTTCAGCTACCTGAGATCAGAAAGAGGTCTAAAGCTTGTGTGTGTGTGTGTGTGTGTGTGTGTGTGTGTGTGTGTGTGTGTGTGTGTGTGTGTGTGTGTGTGTGTGTGTGTGTGTGTGTGTGTGTTACCTTTCCGGTGGATTTGACTCCCTTCCAGACACAGAAGTAAACCATCACCCAGACGGCCATCAGACACAACGTCAGCTCCCAGTTAAACTCTCCAGTTTCACCCAGACCGGACGAGATGTTCAGCACCTTTCTCCTGCAGAGAGAGAGAGCACATTGTTTACATCACAACAACAACGACTACTGTAATTATGGCAATTTGTGTTCAGGACAGGGTTTAAAGCACAACAGCAGCAGATCAGTAAGAAGAAGAAGAACTTTATCCCTGTGTGCGTTCACTGATTTGATCAACTCTTTCGTTCACTGCTCGCTGTGTGTCATTGAGTTGCCACGACAACGCGGCGGTGATCCACATCGATGGAGCAGCTGCTCTTCTAGTCGACCTGCAGTCCCTCTGATCCACTAACTCGCTGCAGCACTAAATAAACACCTTCAGGCGCCTTTGGTTCCAATGAAGCCAAAACTCCAGCCGGTCCCTCAACAGGTCCTCACACAACCACTTGGTTCCCTGCTGGTTTTTAGTTTGAACATGAACAATGAAGAACATCATCGACATACGAGTCACTTGAAGCACCTTTTATTCCTACTTAATGTTCTTCTCGTGTTTGTAGACGCGGTAGAGGTGAAGCACCGCTGAGTTTAGTCTGAAGCTTCTTCAGCACTGGACTCAAGTTCTTGTTGGTCAGTAAAAAGACTTCCAAGTCCAGGAGCACGTGAGCGTTTCACAGCCCTCATCGTTCGGGAGGACCGTTGTGCAGCTACGTTGGTTAGCATGCTAAAGCTAGCTGTGAGACCGCCGTCCTTTGAGAACCTGCGTTCACTGAG